TTTTTTTTTTTTTTTTTTTTTTTATAACTATCAAAATGACTGATCAAATGTTGATCACCACCTGATGTTGCAGCTGTTTCCTGAGCCACTGGGTATTGTCATTGCAATAGGCTGCATGACTGCACCTTACATTTTCTGTCTAGCAGTTGCATTTGCGTCATACCATTTTAAAAAGCTTGTTAAAATATTACATTATTAAGTCCTAATGTTTTGGAATGGGCTGCAAGTGTTACACGGGAGGCTTTTTTATATGGTTATAGTGATGACTGCAATGATGATCTTCAAATGCACATTGGGTAAAACATGCCAAATCAGTATTAATAATTTTTGTTGTTGTTTGCCTGTCAAAGCACTCTGAAAACTGGTTAATCTCTTTCTCTAACTTAATTTTCATCCAGTAAGAGGCATCACTTTACTGGGATAGAATATTACAGTTAGTTTCCATTTATTTTTCAAATGACAACTTCAGTGTCTCTAATTATGTTAATGGTGCTGTTAGTGGAGATAATGGATATTCTATAACATTTTTTTTAACAGTAAATATATTTTCCTCAAAGAGAAGTATTCTTTCTGTTCCCGAGTATGCAGACCTTTTTTTCCTATTCATAATACAGAAGATGAGCTTTCTATCACAATTCCTGTGTTCTATTCCTGACTCTCTGACTTGGGCAAGTTTGTTTAATCTCTGTTTTTTCAGTAAAACCTGTAAAATGAACATAATAAGATTTAGTTGCCAAAGGTTTTGAGATATTCTGATCAAAGGCACTTGCTAGAAGTTCAAAGGGCTATTGTCATATAACTTTGCATCCTGGCTCTTGAGCTTTCATCTGAGACCTCAGTATAACTAGTAAACCCAAGGCATAAAGCCTTCCTCCGAGGCAAGCAAAACACATGCCTTGGGTTTATATGCATTACATTCTAGTGCCCATTCTTTTTCTCCCTCACAGGTCCCCTGAATCTCTAAATTTCAGGTTGAATCCTCCCTATGATATGATCAGTTTAATAATAAAAATAAAATCTTGCGCAGTTGGATATGTGCCAGATAATCTATCTCTTTTCTAGTATATGGAATGGTAGTTTTCTGTTCTCTTTCTAAAGTGTGAATGGTTTGGCACTTGAGAGGTTCAGAATAATATTGAGCTTCTACTAATAGCTTTTTTCTGTGGTTGGGGTTTCCTTTGGAGACTCGTGGGCCCTGCCTTTCTGTGCGTGTATATGCCTGATTTTTCTATGAGTAATCCCATAGGCTTAATTGCATAAAGGTAAGAGTGTATATAATTGTTTGGAGGTTTAGGGCTTGTGTAACTGTTTCGCGGTCTCCTGAGTCCAAGTGCGTGATCGTCGGATGATAGTGGAGGTGATATCAATGTCCAGAGTGTTGTGTAGTGTGTCATAGTGCTAAACAGCTAGTTCCTTTTCTTTCATTGGTGTGAAACATGGCCTTAATTTCTAATTTATGTACTTTCAGGTTAGGAGTGGTGGAAGAAGCCACATAACAGTTGTAGTTATCTACTTCTGCCTAGATCCTCAATTTATCCTCTCTCTTCTAAACAAGTAGACAGGGTAGAATACTTTGGTCAGAAGAGGTATATTGATATTTGGTTAAATCCAGTCAATTCATGCTAGTTTGTAAATTCACTTGGGTCAAATATTCAAGAAAATACATTGAACAAAAGCTGAATAATACAAGAAAAGTAATATTTGCAACTTTTATGTAGACGACTAAACTGACGTTTAAATTACTGATGTGCTTTTCATTGGAAACAGATTTTATGATTAAAGTGGAGGGAAAGTTAATGTACTTGAATGATATGCAGACATTTCCTTTGAAACTTTTATAGAATCCATGGGAATTTGTGAGGTACAGACCCATCTTACGCTTTCAAGAGAACCTGTTCAGATTGAATTCAAAGAAGACAGCTTGAGCTATATGGAAAAACTGTGGCTTAAAAAACACAGAAGGTATTGATAGAATCAGTGGGTATTAATAAAAAATCCAAAAATATTTGTACTTTGTTATTATCAGATCTAGTTGAAGCAGTGTTTCAGAGTTCTGGTTAATATGTTAAAGCCATGCTGGAGAATTTTAAATGTGATGACTATAAAATTTGTTTGTTGTCAAATAAAATAATAATGATGCCCATGTTTGACATTATGATTACTTTAGAACTGTTTTTAAAGAGATCCTATTTAATCTCAATGAGGTCTAGTATTTGGCATTATTAATTGCAAATAAGTTTGGCGGAGGTTTAATTCATTTTTTGGGATACTCATTCTACTAAGAATGCACTGTTTGAATCAAGGAGGCTCCTAAACCTCGAGCTTTCGGCCAATTAGATGATATAAATTGCAGAAAACTATTCTCTTTTAACTCTTGTGACTGAATCTATCGGGTCCGGGTGCCCTTGAAGTGAAAATGGAAGGGGCTCTGCATCTTTCGTGGGTATCAGCCCCTTGCAGAAAGAGACACTAAATTCAGCGCATGTAAAAGTGGTAGGGTCAGCACTGATTTAACACTGTGGTGTGTTAGTAATTGTATACGACTTGAATCATCTTTTTATTTTGTTATTTAGAACTCCCATTGAAAAAGAACCTGGTATTCAGGTAAATGGATTCAGACCTGGGCAGTCAATGGTAAATGAATTTCACAATGCTTTGGGCGGAGAAGCAAGAAAGGAGGAGGAGGAGGAGGATTTAATAGGTTTGTTATATGTTTTTGTTAACTGAGTATATTAAATATTTGAATTCTTTCCCCTATCCATATTTACCATTGCATATACAGATTGTTCTAAATTCATTTTGAGTAAAGGTCAAGAGAGAAGGGGACTAAATGGATATAATAAAATTTAAAAAATGCAAAAGGTTAACTTTTAAAATAAACAATGACTCCTCCCCCAAAGGAAAAAAAACACTCTGAATGAATGTACTACTTTAAATCTGTTTCCCAGCTGAAGACATGAAAAAATATTGGACATCTCTTTTTAGAACAGAAGTATCTGACACTGTTCCTGAGTTCCCTGAATCTTCTTTGAAAATTGAGGTACTTGATAATGTGAGTATATACTAAATGATAATGAGTCTTAAAATAAAATCTAAATAGTTTGATTTAAGTACTTTCTGTATTTTAAACAAATTTTAATCAGTTAAAAATTAAAGTTGGTAACTTAAAGAGAAAAAATGTCTAGACTTAAATAGCCTCTATTAGGTTATTGTTAGTATAGTTAACGTTTTTTTTGTTTTACCATTGTTATTATCCTTGCAATCATAAAGTTTAACTCTCTAAAGATACATGTCTAATGTTTCTTCACAACTGTGGCTGTAATCTTTCAGGCTTTTATTCACACTGGTATATGTTATGTCAGTTGATTAATTCTTGCCATATCCTTTTATTTTTAAATTAGTCTTATGAGGATGACTTAGAAGAATCATCCAACTTTATGGTGATGGAACTTGGATCAACTAAATCGGGGAACAAACAAAGGTAAACAAAACAACTTGCTAGGGTTTCTTAAGTTAATGTTGTTTTGTAGGAATTGAACCAAGCTCTTACGATTAACACATCAGAGCTGAGCAAATATTTCACTGTGAACTGCCTAGTAAAATGTCATTAACCTTTGTGTTGAAATTATGTTTTTGTATTACTTAGATTAAATATTACATTCTTAGAAAACGTAATTGAGTCATTATAGTCTCTTTCTCCTGAATATGAAAATTTGAGAAATTCCTAGAGGGCTACAAACATAATGGTTGTCCATGCTGCTAACTGTGTTCTAACTTTGTGTGGTCTGCTTCTACAGGACCAATCGCAGTTTGCAAAAGCATCAGAAAGCTGATATTCTTGTGACAGAAGTAGGGGAATACTTTAGTGTTGATATAAAATGATTGGATTCTATTTTATGCTTTAGTGGAGGTTGCCATCTCATCAGCCATGGCATTAATTTATTTAAAGCATGCATACTGTGCGTATCGTCTCAACTGAATTTTTAAAAAATGGTTAATGTGTGTTAGGTGGCTAGATACTTAATAGTTCTGTCATTTCACTTCTTGCCATCCCCTGAATGTTCTCTAAGAATGTGACTGATAATCATTCTTCACAGCAGTTGTAAGATTTCAATCCTATCTTGCTGAAGTAAAGGAGTTGCGAAAGTGTTACAGGACATGGGAAACTTGTCTTTTATTGGCTTTGTTGTAAAGCTGGTAAATAGCAAGCACAACCAACTTAACCCATACATTTTTTATAATGTATTTATGATTTGTGCATGTTCTGTGTCAAACTTTTAGAATAAATGCTTAGTAAGCAAAAAAGTTGTTTTGTTGGTTATTCTATGCTATTACAGTATTTCTCTAGCACTTAAAATGCAAAGTTAAGACAAGATTTTCAAAAGTACCTGAGAGAATTAAGTGCCCAATTGCCATTGCATATGAATGAGAGCTGGACACCTGAATCTTTAAATCTTGCTCTTAATGTTTAGAAGCGCATGTGAACAAATCTTGGCTTCTGTATAGACTTTAGCCTCTTTGTACTTTCACACTGGGATGTTGTAATGGGGGGGGTGGGCTGCTCAGGGTCTGTCTACTGGTGGCCCTGCCCACCTGTTATGGGTCAACCGCCTGCCTTTTCGCCTGCCATGCCTTGTTAATTAATTGTTGTTAATTAAGCGGGAGGCTGCCCATTGTATGCCCCGATGCCAGGGGGCGCTATCTGCGGCTCCGTTCCTCTCCTACACCGTAGCCCAAACCTTGCAGATGGTATTTGTAAATTCCTCTTTATGTTGGGGTCTCAGCCACTGTGGACCTACCCCTTTTCTCTCTAGCTAGGCCTGTCAGTCAAAAACCCCCCAGTAATCAGGGTTTGACTCCCAGGCTCTAGCTCTCAAAAAAAACCCCACAAAAACAAAAAACAAAAAACCCACTCACTCAGGCTCCTGCACCCTCTGTGGTGCTGGGGTCTGCTCACCCTCAAATACTGCACCCTGTCTGGTGCTGGGGTCAGCTCACCCCCAAATACTGTGCCTTCTTTGGCACTGGGGTCCCCACACTGCAGTGGGCCCCCACTGAGGCCTCCTTCTTCGCCAAATAGCCTCACCCAAACCACCAGTCTTAACATTCAACACAAAACATAGGTTTCTAAGGCCATATAATGGAAAAATAATAATACAGAAACCAGAGAGGCAACATGCCTGTTTATTTTAGATGATCATGAGGATGGCTCACAGCATGGCATAGTCTTCCAATAGAGACTGCAGCCACAGCACCATGGTCATTGAGAGGCCCCCTCCCTGCTGCCCCTCTGGCCTTCTCCACTTGCCATTTGTAGGATCTTGGCCTTCCTCTTCCTGTCACCTGATCGGCTGGCAGGGCTTGAGCCTTAACCCTTACTTGACCGGCTGGCCGTGACTGGAAGCTTTGGGATTTAAAGGGACTACTCTGTCTCTTAGTAACAGGGCTAGGGTTCCCTGTTACAGATGTGCGTGCAGAGAAATTATAGACCTTATGAATGCAGTATCATCTTAAAGAAGCAGCCTCATCAGTAACTTGGTATTTCCAGATAAAATATAGATATCAGTAAAAAACTTTTATATTTTTAATACACTTTTTATATGATAAAATCTAAAACAGTATGTAGAGTATTGTCATTGATATATGTATATATGCAACTCCTATAAACTTCCAGAAGAAATCTGAGTTTTAAATTTGTTAATCTTTAGGAGGTCATGTGTTATTTATGAAATTTCTTCCGATCTGTCTGTCTGTTTCTCTCTTTGTTTTATATAAAAAGAGCTATGGGACCTGAACACCAACAGGATACAGTATCACACTTTTCACCAGCCCAAGCTCTTGATATAACTAGAAAGTCATTTGATCATGTACCTTCCACAGCTGACAAAAAAGATCTTTTAATACCTCCTTGGGACAGAAATACCGCACCTTTGGAACAAATTTCTAAAGGTAAATAATGGGGATATTATTATTTTTTCTTTCTTGGCACTTTATTTCCTTATTTCAGGAATAAAAAGTATTTTATGATGATTTTTGTATGGTTTTTATAGTAGTGTTATAACCAATTAAATATTAGCCTCATATTGTGTAAAAGAAACAAATGTTGCTTCTTTAAAAGTATTCTGTATACTCATGCTTGGATTATATAGCATCTATTTTATGGATGTAAGAACAAACTTACAGCATTTTCAATACATAGACTTTCTAGTCCATGGGGATATCAGTGATATTTCAGGAGTAGCTATATAGTAATATATTTAGATTAACTCAGGATGTGTCCCAAAGCCTCCAGGTCAGCGATCTGCAACCATTCAGCTTGTGGGTTGGATCTGGCCCACCAAGTGGTTGGATCTGGCCTGTGACACACAAATACAAAACATAGGGGTAGAGGTGCAAGTGGAGGCAGGTGATGGGTGCACCAGGGCTGGCACAGAAGGTGCACCTCAGAATCCTTTCTCCTTGTATGTCCCCTTTCCTGTTCTACTCCAGTTTTTCCATAGTTTTGCTTGCTGCCAGCCCACCCCTGTCTGCTCTCTCTCTCAGTTGTTCCCCGTTACTGCAGCTGTGTCTTCTTTTGCTACTTGCAGTTAGTAGTGACAGGAATCATCAGTGAGAGGCAAGGGGTGACAGCAGTGACTGCAGTACAGGTGCATTTAATGACGCAACTGCCTTATTTCAGCCCACTGCTGCTTAAAGATTAACAACCCCTATTTTGTTATATAAAGAAAAATGATTTAAATGGTCTACATCTATGTGCAAAAGCTCAGGATAGCCCTTGGACTAAAAATTTCATTCGCCTTCATTGATCAACACAAAATTTGTGGATATGTCAATTTTTAAGAGCCAAGTATGTTTGTATATTTGCAGTTTCATTGTCTTATCTGTCTGCTGGGAAAAAGCTTGCAAAAGTGTAGATACTTTGTTTTGTGATGCCACTAATAAACATTAGGAACAGAAAACAGTGTTTAATCCACAGTCTGAAGAGTAGGTTAGTTTACTGTGCTATTTTGCTGTAATTGAGGTTAGTTATAGTTCAGGTTTTAATTAATTTTTTCTGTTTTAACAAATAAATTGTATTTGTATGTGCTTAGTCAGTCTCTTTCTCTGCATTTGGTTCAAATTTCTGCTTATTTTAAGGCTAAGAGGTGAAAGAGAAAATGCCAATTGGACTCTGAGGTGTGCTATATATGCCCTTAGGGGCAAAGGAAAAAAGCCAAATAACTGTGTCTAAAGGGGGGAAAAAAAGAATCATTATGGTTCTGCACACAAGAGAAGGATATAGCTCAAGAGTATGTATTCTTAACTGCAACCAGTCTCAAAGAAATTTTACTTTCAAGTAGCTATCTTTAGATTTATTTAATTGAAAATATAAAGTTACCTTTGGAGTTATTCAGCTACTTCCAGGCAAACATTACAGTTTTAAAAATGAAGAAATTATAAGGTGAAGAACTCTGTAATTCTTCATTATTCAGTACAGAATTCTGTATTTCTGTCATTTTAGGAGTGTCAAAGGTACAATATGACTAAATACATTCCAAGATAATTATATTAGTTATTATGAGTCTGATTTTTGAGGTGCTGAGTGTTTTGCAGTTCCAATTGGGTTCATAGAGCAGTTGGGTACCCTGTAGTTTAGAAAACTGGGTTATACATTTTTGAAGGTAGATTGATTTTGTGTGTGTGTGGCTTGTTTGGTGTTTTAGGGCTTAGTTATAAGAGGAAAATCCTTGTATACTATACTCGTTTTTGGAATTCCTTGAGAAAAACGGTGTTTGCTTGTAGATGCAGTTTATGCTCATTTGTTTCTTGGTTTTAGTTTCATCAGGACAAACATCTACAGCAAGCCATGCAGGAATATATACTGAGTGCCATCATTCTGCTACAGGAGAAGAAGTTCTCAGCATTCCTCACAAAGGAGATTTAACTGCAAAGGCTGGCACTAAAACAAACACTGATAGAAGATTTCTTTCCTCTTGTATGCCACCAGAGATGTCTTTTGGCCTCCCTAAATTAGCCATAAAGACACCTTCCTCCAAGTCAAGATCACTGAATGACAGTGCTGATTCAGTGGAATTTAACAGTTTCTCCAACAACCAGAGCATGGCTTTAACTACAAAGTCCTCAGTGGTAACCTATTAAATCCCTTATCTCTCAATATAATAAATATGTTGAATATTCTATGTACTTGCCATATTTCTTTGTTTTTTTTTCTTTTTTAGATTTTACATTGTCAAAGTAGGGTGGAGTGGTTTGATTGTTGATATCTTGGTTTTCTTGAAATACTGCAGAATATGTAGTTATAAGGTCACTTACTTAAAAGGTATGGAAGTCATTAGGTATACGTTTAGTGAGAACGGTAGAAGATAGATTCCCCATGTTTTGATCTTTCAGATATGGAAAATAAAAGTACTTTCATAACCCCCCTTTTTTACCTTCTGCCTCTATCACCCCTGCCCCCGTGCTACCTCTTCTCCCTTCCCCACCCCCCATCAGTCATTTCACTTTGCTATGTGGTGGTATAGGAAAATAAAGCAAAGAGATGACAAAATCCAGGGTCAGAAGGGCTATTTGTATGCAGCCTGTCACTCACCTTGCTTTCCCTCTTAATTTGGTTGTCACAAGTTTTATGTACCCTTCGATTTTAGTCTCAATGTTCAAGCATCTCTCAGAGAGTCTAGAACTAAAGGGCAGGTTTCGTTAGCTTCTGTCTTTTCATAAATGCAGTGTATTTTGTGTGCAGCCAGGCACATAATCATGATTTGCCTTTTAATAATTCCAAAGCTGAATGCTTGACAGAAGGGTGAAGATTAGTTGATGCAATACACTGAGCATTTGGGCTACTAATAAGTAATATAGGTTTCTGATATTCAGTGCATAAAGATATAAACATCAGGAAAGAGATGCTATTTTTATTTTAAGTTTTATGAAGCAACATTCTATTAACATTTAACTTGGCATGACATGGTACATGTAGCCTTTAGCTGTTTTTTATTAATATTTTGTCTTCTATTCAAGTTGTTACAGGAAGTAGCCCGAAGAGAAAAACCTGTTTCTACCCAGTACCAGGGACTTGAGATTTTTTTTAGTTTGGGTGCAAATTCTAAGCAAGTAACACCTGAATCACTTCCATCGTTGTGCTCTGATTCCAGCCCTACAGATAACATTTCATTTTCAGGTAATAGTGAGAAGTAAAACCCTCCACCACTATGTCACTTATTGAGTACATATGCTAGTCTATATGGACTTTAAATAGTAAAAAGCATTACCCTCCTTATTTAAGCTTTTCCTAGGTTCAGTTTTGTCATTTGCAAGTCAGCATTATATGCAGATAGGCAAAAAGCCTGAGGCTGAATTGATTCAGTCTTCACAGATTAGTTTAAAATGCATAGATTGAACTGGTAACCAAGTGAACAGACATTCACTTTTGCTTCCTGAAATGTGGCCATATGCCTGCAGTGGCTCACGCTGGGGGGCACTAGAGCACACCTCCGTGCTCAGCTGGAGCAGGCAGCTTGAGCCAAAGCTAGTCCATCCACTCTTCAAGGAAGGTGCAAAGCATTGTGAGATGCTGGGGGAGTGTGAGTGAACTTGAATCTGGAGGGGACCTGGGACAGAAGTTCAGTAACCGATTTACCTTAATTCAGTTAAGTCTGAGGCTAATTCCAACTAACTTTATCTTAAACTGGTTTTGGCCATTTTGAGTTCATGTACACTGAACTTCTGTTGTGTTACAGATTTGAACCAGTTTCAGATTACTTTTACCTGTTTGTATAATTTCTGTCCCTAGCCCAGGATGCTATAAATTGGTGCAGCTGTCACACTAAGAAAAGCAACTAACTGAGTGAGGAAGTATATGCTGGCTTCCTGCTTCAAGTAGTAAATTACACCACCATAGACTTTACAGATTTATAACTGTTGAAATCACATGAGCATTTGGACCTCAGTTGCATTTTCCTTGTATTAAATTTTGATTTAGCTTTTTTACTTTAAGTTGTCATTTTTATTGTTTTAAATGTTTTATATTAAGCTCTCTGTGAGGTGACTTGTAAATAACTCATAGGTATGTATTTATAAAATGTAGAACATAAAGTTAAATGTAAGATAAAAATCATGTAATGAATTATTTGCTTATCATTTTAAAGGGATATATATTGTGTGACACTTTTAGTGATAGTACTGTTTGTTTTTTCTGGGCAGCAACCACAATCTTAGAGAAAATTAATGTGTAGAATGTGTGTATAGTTTCCTGCCTCTGTGTATGACCCATAGCAATTTTAATTGCAGGAGCTGAACAGTGGGTCAGAATGCGTAGCTTAAGTGAACATGCTGAAGAGTCCATAGTACAGGGCATATGGCAAAGTGAACTGAGCAGACCATCAAGTGGTTTGGGACAACGAAACGCGCATGCTAGAACTTCTCTGCAGAGATCAGTGTATAGATCACCTGTTGGTAAGAACTGTTTCAACGAGATAATATATTGTTGAAGCCGCATTTCAGCAGGTGATGTATTCAACTGACTGTCTTTAAGTGTGTCAGTAGCCATGCTGGCTTCAAGTGATGTCCTGGATTAGGATATTAGATCTGTAATTTATACATTGTAATTCATTTTGGTTTTTTATTTCTCTCTGCTATTTTTTTTTAAATCTTAAAAATATTTTCTAAAGTTTTACGCTGTAGTAAATTTAAGTAAGATCTAAATATTGGAGAAATAACTGTGGCCCTTTCAGATGCTCCATGAGGTAGTACACAAGCCCCAAAACCCCAGCTTTGATTTGTTCTTTCTCATTGAATATTGCATACAAAGTTTAAGTGGAAAAAGATTCACAAATCAACAAATGTTTTCTTCAGACTGCCCCCAAAGATCTTGCTTTCAACGTTTATGGTGGTGCTGCACATAGCTCAGCAGTGAACAGGTAGCAGCTGCATAAGTTTTGTTGGTATTTAAGGTTTGTTTGCTCTGAGCCTACTGTTCGGGTGCATCAGGCAAATCCCACAGCAGATCCCAGCGCCATAACATGGTTTAAATGGAACTGTAGCCTCCAGACAATCGGTTCTGGCATTTATACAGAGCACACCATTGTCTAGAGTCAGTAATTTTGGCTTATTTTTTTTCTTTGGACTTACTAAGCATTTAACAGTATATGCAATAATAAGCTTTATGAGTTGAAAATTTGCTCTTGATGTCTCACTGGGAATTGAATCTGACCCAGAAGCAGTTGGTGATCTATGGTTGCCATTAGCTTATAGCATGCATGAATGCATTTGCAAATGCTTTGCTGCAACAGTTTGTGTGACCGCAAGTATCCAAAGAATGTGAATCATACCGTTGACCAAACATATAAAACAAACTAATGAGAGAGAGTGGTAAAGATATTCGAGGAAAACTAAATGTAGGCTTTACCCTACCTGAAGTTTGCTGTGTTCCGAGATGGAGAACTACACAACTTAATAATCAAGTTCCACGGTAATTTACATTTTTAACTGCCGTCATCATGGATGTTGAAAATCTGAATGCTTATGACAAATGCTTAAAGTTTCAAGATCGTTTTAGTGAGCTGTGTGTATGAGTAATTGCCATTTTATTTGTATCATTAAGAATGTTTATTATAGTTTTGGAATCACTTTAATGTAGTTGATACAAAAATCTCTCATAAATATAACCAGTGTAATTGTTCTTATAACATTCCTTATGAAACAGGCAGGCTAGAAAGCTATCTGGTATGTTAGTCCTTTTACCACACAGCTTGTAACTGTTTATACTTACTGTTTTCCCTTGATTCTGGCAGAAGAAATTTATGTTTTCTTTACTGTTTAAAAAAAAATTATTGTTGTTTTAATTGCGCATAAATCCACTGCATGCTTAATGTAGGCATTTTTATAAGCTTCAGAAGCCTGTAATGGCTTGTAGTGCATTGGCTGCTCCCTTGTAGAAGCTTTACAAACTGATGAATTGAAGTTGCTTTTGTTCAAAGAAAAATGCCTGTGCAGGAACTCTGGCACCTAAAAATATATATATATTTTTAAGAGGCAGATTTTTATATTTGTTTCTAAACAATACAAGCCCTTATCTGAAACACCAAATTTTTACTGTTACTTCAGTAACTTCAGCTAGCTTGCACATAAGAGATGAAATTGTTTATTGTATAAGTTTATACCATTCATGTGCCACAGATCAGTGAGATATTTATCCTAAAAGGTACCATTTTCCTCTCTATGTGTAGGTAGGGAGCAGATTATGATGTGAGCTTTTGGAATTTGCATGACAGGGAGTAGCAGCAATATACAAAGTTTAATTTTTAATTTAAAGAAACTGTAATTCAGAAACTGGTGCTATGCGAAATATGGACTAACTGATTTCAAAAGTACTGCCTTTTGTAGTTGATTCCTGTGACACCAGAATCATAGAAAGTTTGGGTTGGAAGGTACCTTAGGAAGTCCTCTAGTCCAACCATCTGCTCAAAGCAGGACCAAACCCAACTAGATCATACCAACCAAGGCTTTATCTAGCCGGGTCTTAAATACCTCCAAGGATGGAGAGTCCACAATCTCTCTAGGTAACCTGTTCCAGTGTTTTACCACCCTCCTAGTGAGAAAATTCTTTCTAATACCTAAGCTAAACTTCCCTTGCTGCAACTTTAGCCCATTACTCCTTGTTCTATCATCTGTCACCACTGAGAATAGTCTAGATCAGGGGCAGGCAATTATTTTGGGCAGAGGGCCGCTTACTGAGTTTTGGCAAGCCATCGAGGGCTGCATGACAGGCAGCCAGGGGCAGATAAAAATTCATTTTCTAAATTTTTTAGGGGTCCTGCAGGCTGGATAGAATGGCCTAGCGGGCCATCCTGCGGGCTGCATTTTGCCTGCCCCGGTCTAGATCCATCCTGTTTCAAATCCTTCAGGTAGTTGAAGGCTGCCATTAAATCCCCTCTGTCTTCTCTTCTCTAGACTAAATAAGCCCAGTTCCCTCAGCCTCTCCTCATAAGTCATGTGCTCCAGCCCCCAAACCATTAGAGCCGACCTTAGGAGGATGTGGGGCCCAGGGCAAATCAGTCTGTACAGGGCCCCCTTAATGCTGCATGGGGCCATGGTACCCTGCAAAGTACTGGGGGGAGGGGGTGGAGGCTCTGTGCTGCTTTCGTGGTGCAGGGCTGAGCTGCCAGTCCCTGCGGGAGGGGCTGCAGCCACTCTGCCCGACTCTGCAGGGCCCACCCATAGCATGGGGCCTAGGGCGGTCACCCCCATTTGCTGTACCCTAGGGACAACTGTGCCTCTGCTGGACTCTCTCCAATTTGTCCACATCCTTTCTGTAGTGGTGGGCCCAAAACTGAATACAGTACTCCAGATGTGGCCTCGCCAGTGCTGAATAGAGGGGAATAATAACTTTCCTTGACTTACTGGCAACTTTCCTACCAAGGCAGCCCAGTATGCTGTTAGTCTTCTTGGCAACAAGGTAACACTTTTGGTACATAGTCATCTTATTATCCACTGTAACCCGCAGGTCCTTTTCCGCAGAGCTGCTGCCCAGCCAGTCAGTCCCCAGCCTGTACTGGGGCATGGGATTGTTCCATCCCAAGTGCAGGACTTTGCACTCTTCCTTGTTGAATGAGATTACTTTTGGTCCAATCCTCCAATTTGTCTAGGTCACTGTGAATCCTAGCCATAGTCTCCAGCATATCTACTACTTCCCTACAGGTGTCATCTTCAGATCTGCTGAGGGCGCACTCTGCCATCTTCCCGGTCATTGATGAAGATACTGAACAAAACCGGCTCCAGGATCAACCCCTGGAACACTCCACTTGATACCAGCTGCTAACTAGACACAGAACCATTAATTACTGCCCTCTAAGTCTGATGCTTCAGCCAGTTTTCTCTGCACCTTATGGTCCATTCACCTACCCCATACTTCCTTAGCTTGCCTGCGAGAATGTTGTGAGAGACTGTATCAAAAGCCTTGCTAAAATCAAGGTACACCACATCCACTGGTCTCCTCATATCCACAGAGCCAGTCATCTCATCATAGAAGGCAATCAGGTTGCTCAGGCATGACTTACCCTTGGGGAATCCATGCTGACTGTTCCTAACCACCACCTTCTCCTCCAAGTGCTTAAAAATAGATTCCTTGAGGATCTGCTCTGTGCCTTTTTTTTACAGGGACTGAGGTGAGATTGACTGGTCTGCAGTTTTCTGGACCCCCCTTTTCCCCTTTCTTAAATATGGGCACTAAGTTTGCCCTTTTCCAGTCATCTGGGACCTCTCCATATTGCCATGAGTTTTCAAAGATGATAGCTAGCGGCTCCACAGTCGCATCTTGAGCACCCTTGTGTGCATCCTGTCCGGCCCCATAGACTTGTACATTTTCAGCTTTTCTAAATAGTCTCTAACGTGTTCTTTTGCCACTGCTGGCTGTTTACCTCGTCCCCAAACTGTGCTGCCAGATGCAGTAGTCTAGGAGCTGACCTTGCCTGTGAAGACTGAGGTGAAAAACATTGAGCACTTCAACCTTTTCTGCATCCTCTGTCGCAAGGTTGCCTCCCCCATTCAGTAACGGACCCACACTTTCCTTGACCTTCCTCTTGTTACTGATGTACTTGTAGAAACTCTTCTTGTTCCCCTTCACATCCCTTGCTAGCTGTAATTCTAACTGCGCTTTGGCTTTCCTGACTTTATCACTGCATGCCCAAGTAGTACTCTGATACTCTTTCCTGGTTGTTTGTCCAAGTTTCGACTTATTATAAGACTTCCTTTTTGTGGTTTAATTTACTGAAGAGTTCCCTGCTAAGCCAAGCTGGTCTTCTGCCATAATTGCTAGTCTTCCTGCACATCGGGATGGTTTGTTCCTGCACTCTCAGTAAGGTTTCTTTATAGTACAGCCTGGTCTCCTGGACTCCTCTCCTCCCTCAGACTGGCTTCCCAGGGGTTCCTAACTTCCTAGCCATGAGTTCCCTGAGCGAGTCAAAGTCTCGCTCAGTGACCTTCAATTCCTCATTGAATTAAAGCTGCAGTTCTGAAGATGTGTAGCAGACAGAGAACCCCAAGGCCTTTTAGGATATCTTTTGTAATAACAGCAAAATACATTTCTTTATTACAATACATTCTGATAATAAATCTTCCATGGCCAAACCCTATTCACTTTACTCATCCGAAATTCTTATTTAATACATACACTTTTAAATACTCATAGTTTCATTATTTTTGCATAAAGATAGTTATGAAAATGTTTCCAGGGTAGCATGCTAAAAAATTGTGATTAAATTTAGTCAGAGCTTCAGCTTCATATCTGTGCTGTGCATATTACAAAATCTCAAGGAGGACAAATTTTATAACACTGTTGTTATAAAGAGCTTATTTTTGTTGATTTTTCTTTTTCCCCCCATGGGAGTTGGATGCCTAATATCATCCTTTGAAAACGGTGACTATTGTGGATACCTGAAGTCATTTTTTAACTACTTACAAGTTTTCTGTCATAAAATTTCCATTTTCCAGTTGCCTGTTTATGAAAGTACAGGTTTCCCTTGCCAACCATGGTTTTACCAACCACAATTTTGAGTATGCACACTTAATATTCTGTATACCATTTTGGCTACTACGGTGTACGGTTTTGAGTAAACACAGTTTTCTGTGGCTGCCCATCAGCCTGCCACCTGCCATTTTCCCCATAAGCCTTTTGTCTTGCCAACCATAGTTTTGCCAACCATGGGAACTTTCAGGAACCTAACCCCAGCGGTTGGTGAGGCAAACGCGTATATGTATCCTAAACATCTGAAAAGTTAAACAAGTAAGAACTTGTCACCACTGTTTGTGGCAAGTCTGAATTTATAATATTTAAAACTTCCCCTATAATAAAAAAAGAATAGACTATTACATCCTGTGTCTTCAAGCCGTCTTTCTCATACAAATAACAAAGCTAACTTTTGAGTTGAGACTTTTTACGTTGCATATCCCACAAACTCTGACCTTAGTAAGTCACTGCACTGCTCTGTGCCTCATTTCTCCCACCACTTCTTTTGTTTGTCTTGTCTAGTTAGATAAAACTCCTGCCCTGGAGAGTTTATGGCTACGTACTTCTACCTAGTCCAGTGCAGTCTGCATCTTAGTCTGGTTCTCCAATAGCTAATGTAATTCAAATACTAAATTATAATTGCATAGACTGTAAAAAAGAGAGAGAAGGTGTAGTTAAGTAATTCAGCTCCATCCATGGTGTTCTCGTGAGTTACTCTTGTCTGTCTCAGCCACTGCCTTCCCCAGGCACATAACTCATACTGTTTGTTTCTCTCGTGCTGGGCAGGCAATTTGACATCTTCATTCTTTTAAAAAAAAAAAAATCACTTGGCAGATTCAAAACTATCCATTTTGAATTCAGTACAAAACATGTGAAACTCTCATTTATTTTATTATTCATGTTTTCATAAGTGTCAAAACTGGAGAGATTTACTTAAAGAAAAATTATGCCAGGCTGAATGCAGGTACAGGTTTCCCTTGCTTTATGCTAGACATGTGTTCCTGGAAAACGACACAACTCGAATTCATATAAAAGGAACCCAGTTTACAGTGTAACAAATAGGGATATGTTCCAAGACCTCGACTGTGCTGACCTCCAGACCCATTTCTACCACTTTTACAAGACAGTTTTGGTACTCGCCAACAGCAAACGGTACACACAAGCACAGTGTACGATTATAATGGGAATGGCAACTACAGAAACGCATGTTGCCAGCAATGAACAAGGAGCACAGATTCACACAGGAGACTATATTTTGGTGCATGTCACTCCCACAATGCACCACACAAAGCAGCTGACTGTGGGCTTCCACCACACCAATAGCATAAGAGTGAATTTACTTCACACACAACGAATTTTTGGAATAAAAAGGATCATCTCATAAGAGCGAATTTGCACGTACAGAACTTGCATAAAGCAAAGGAAACCTGTATAACAGTTTGTAACCTGGACTCAGTTTTTCCTCAAATTGTATCTTAAATACTACTATATTTTAGTATAGTAAAATATAGTAGTATTTAAGATACAATTTGACAAATATATTGTGTTGAATAATTAATAATAATTCATAACTTTTTCACTTCATCATTTCATTTCATTTGGTTAATTTGAGAAAAAAAACATGATTTGCTTTTTATTTTTATTACAGTGACTAGTTTCCCGAGACCTTTATCAGCAAATATTCCACTCTGTGGAATGATTAAGAGTCGTCCTATCCAGAGTTCACGTTCTCAGATAAGACCAAAAAGTTCAACTGGTCAGCTGCTGTCTACAGTTGTTGCTGAAATATCCAAATTTGAGTTCGATGATCTAACTGAACAAGATGATCCTCTTTTAGAAGATATTGCTGATCAACAAGCCTTAGCTAGTTTGGAAAAAGAATTGCAAAGTCATATAGGTATTTAGTTAAAGTGATAACCTACATGTCATGCTAGAGCATTTGTAACATAAGGTCAAATACCTTGTTTATGTCTTGATATTTTTTTGAGTCGTCCTAGGTTTGTATTTATAAGACCAATCCTTCTAGACCGGGGTGCTCAGCCTTTTGGCCCTGCAGGCGAGATGAGTGGCATGGGCCAGTTGATGTGCTGAGTCAGACTGTGAGGCCCGACACTACCCCCTTCCTGCTCCACTTGTGGGATTTGGCACCAGGGACCTGGTGCTGCCCCCTCCTGGTCCCTGCACACAGGAATTGGGTCTCTGGGGTGGGGGACAGGACATGCTGGGGCTGGGCTTGGCCTTGCCCCCTCCCACTAAGGTTGTGTCCCAGAAGTCCAGCACCACTGCCTCCCTTCCCTTCATGCCAGGATTGGCTCCCAGGGGCCTGCACAGCCCCCTCCTGATCCCTGGCATGCCAGGATTAGGTCCAGGGGCTTGTCACTGTCCCATTCTGTCCCCAACACCAGGATTGAGCCCTGGAGTCTGATGCTGCCTCCGCCCAGCCCTGTGCACTGGAATTGGGCACTGCATTCAGTGCGTAGACCCGAGTTCCTCATGGTTCTGGAAATCTGGCAGCAGGAGAGCTCCCATACCACCCAGTTTCCAGACCTGTGGAGAGCCCTGCAGGCCAGGGGTTGAGCATCCTATTCTAGGGTATGCCATGCTCTGTTTTTGTGGCTAAACAAGATGTAGACCAGACAATAACATCCCAGCTTTGTAGAAACAGGTTTTAGAGCACTCTTGCTTGTTGAACCTCTTACCTTCTATGCTTCTGTTACAGAAATCTCACAGGATATGCTGAGTGCTTCTACCAGGGATGAGTTCTTTCAGCAGCTGCCTGCTTCCTGGTTCTTGCATTGGAAGCATAATTAACCTTTCAGATGAGAGGAATCTTATTAGTCCTGCTAGCTGATGGCCAGTATCTAGGGGGATTTGTTTAAAGCAGGGGTGGCCAACACAAAGTGCCACAGGTAGCTTGGGCAGCCTTTGTTTGTGGCACGCAGCAAATTGCGGAGGAGACAGGCAGCACAGTGGCAGATAGGGCAGGCAGCAGAAAGCAAAGCAGCAGCTTGGTCTGGGAGCAGAAAGCTGAGCAGGAGATTGGGGAAGAGAAAAGCAGCACAGTGACTTAGCTGGTAGGACAGTGCTGTTCTATGAAACTTCTTAGAAACTTTATATATTAGATTCTGTATTTCTGTTATATGCGTTATTTAAAATGATGCAAAATATTTCAGATCCGCAGGAAAAACTTTGCCGCTTAACCTCTGAAGACTTATCAGCTTCCAGCAGACATTCAAAGAAGATAAGTGAAAATATTACAGATTTCCATAATAACCTAGAACTGAAAGACCACAGTAGAGTTGATACTTTAAGGTAATTTAAACCTGCTGATTATGGTTTTTAAGGCTATATTAAAAGATCTGACATTCCAAACATCATAAAGACAGTATATTAAAACCTTAGTTTTCTGTTGTATTTTACATGCCAAGTATAATGTATAATGCGTGTCATCTGTGACCTACTGTACCGATGACATTTTTTGCAAAAAAACAAAACTCCCTAACATTTTTCAGTTACACTGTATAACACTTCATTAAACCATGTAACATGAATAGATGAAAGTGTAGGAATTCATCTATTAGAATTAAAAAGATATTCAAATTATTAGTAATGAATTGGCTGGGAATAGCAGAGATGTAAAAATATTATTGTGTAAATTAGCCCAGTAATTTCTGTGCTATTCACTGCTCTCCCTTTTGGTTGGAAAGACATTTGTTTGATAGGAGCAAAATTGTAAGAATTGTTAAATATGAAAGTTCAAGACAATGCAATGTAACTTGCATCTCATGATTTGAAATCTAATCTATGTTGTTAATGTTTTCTTAACATAACTTCTTAATTTCATTATTTCATTTTTTTGTTCCTTTTATTGAAAAATGGTAGTTTTCATATACTGTACAAAGATGTCTTAGTGTTAAACTCTGCAATGTTAGAGGCTTAAAGCAGTGTTGATGTTCCCACCTTCTCAGTCACTGTTTGATGTCTGAAAAAAATTGTATGATGATATAATACTATCGTTTAAAAATGTTTGCTTTTTTTGCTTTCTCATTTATAACTTGAGATCCCTTATTTTGTGCCTGTAGCCATGTGAATGAAGTTCTGTAAGTATTTGTCCATCTGTTAATTCCACTCTTGGCACACATTTGAGTGGAGTCTTTTATCCCATATATTGGCTTCCGGTTACAACCTCTTTCTCATTGCCACATGCATTGACAACTGCTATCCCAAAAGACTGTTCCTTAATTCTGAGATTTGCCATACTGCTCTATGTGAGCACACCCATATGTTGTCATTTAGTTAACCAAGAGGGAGCTAAATCAGACAGATTGTTTCAACAGGTTATTCCACATAGTTCTGTTTCCATTGGTTATTCCTGAGTGGGTACTATGTCAAGAAATTGAATATTTTCTGTCTTGGAGTAATATGGGAAATTTCAGTCCAGCTGAGGGAAAGGTATCTAATGAGACTACTACTTTGTACTTAAAGGATGGAGGATGAAGGTTTAGTTCTAGTTTGGGGAGTTCTGAATACCTTAATCAACATTTAGAATAGTCACCTGCTCCTCCATTTTGTCTTGTTTAGGTAGAAAAAAAATATTTCAATCTGCAGGATGTTTGCTTTCACGTTGCTGTACATCCACCTGATGTAATATTTACAATTTCTGATGGATCAAAACCATTACCAATACACTCACCTAACTATAACACTGGGTATAGTCTCTCCCTTTGAACCCTTGATGTTTTTATCCTCTCTTCTGTGTTTCTTAATGAAAACTTCTGTGTGGCAGCTGCTTCAGCTAGGTAGACTGGGGAGATAGGATATCAAATGTTAGGGCCTCAGTTTCAATTTCAGAATGGGAGCGTGACTCAAATGTTATTCCAAATTTGTGCCCAAAAATAGAGTTCCATTTTAATCACCCTATTTTGATTCACCCACTTAGTCTCCCTTATTAGAATGAAGTTTAAGGGAAAATGTATCTAAGGTACATCCCTTAAGTTTGTAGGTTTACAGCTACAGGTTAAACCCCATTCCCAAGGCTGAAAATAGATGT